TTGTTTCTTATAGAGAAATGGTGGTGTCGTTTAGGTTTTTATATTGTAAACTTACCTCGATTACACCATTGTAATTTAATTTTTTGAAACATTGAAGGAAAAGAAGTGATCAATTAGACATTGTACTTTCACCTTTTTCTCATTAGGACATTCTATGGTAATCTAACTAAATTTTTCCAAACACAATATAAGAAACTGTTCACCTTTTTCTCAGTTGCTTGTTTAGTCAAATGTTAAAAGTTGACTTGATGTTCTTGAAGCTGCTTCTGTAACTCAGCATTGCTTGTTTCAAGCAATGCTATTTTCTGTTTCAAAAGTTGAGAAAAAATACGGATTCATAAGTTTTGTATATATGTTCATTAAGGGTATTGACCGGAAATATAACAAATAAAAAATTTCTTACTTGAAGCTCTTCAAATGGTGTGGAAGAGAAACCATGTTGTTTCTGAGGAAACCTTGACTTTTTGCTAGTGCTATTTTCATCTTAGCTTCCACAATTCTTCTTTCTAAATCCATGGGAGCAAATATCCATAACAGAAAGAGAAATAAAATGTCAAGAGGTTACTCTAGAGATTATAAATATAAGTATACATACAAAAAGAGAGGGAATGGATTGAAAGAGAAACTATAAAGTCCTAAAAATTACTTGCATCCTAGGACCATCAGCTTGTCTTCAACCTTTTGTCTCTACCAGAAAAACTTTCCAAAATCAGCCCATTCTAGAAATTAAACATACATAAGGAAAAAAAAGAGTACATGAATTCAGGTTTTTTAGGTTTAACTCACATGACTCATCTTGATTGCGTCAGGAGGTTGATCCTATCCAGTGAGCCATTTCCACAAACTTTCCAAAATCTGGTACCTATTAGCAATAACATTTGTGGAATTTACCAGGTCGAGGACAGTACTAGGTAATTTGATTCCTATATATGATGCAACCATAAGTTCAACAGGAGGCGACTTTTCATTAAAGACAACCTTGCCCTTGGTTGCATCATCAGGCTCCTTTTGTTTATTTCGGCTATAACATATGCATGTAACCATAAACAATCTTACAACATATGATTTTACACCAAATAAAGTAATGAAGGTAAAAAAAATACATGAACAAGATCAAATGATCTTTTCCCTATATGTTCTAGTATTTCATAATGCTTCATTTCACGAGCTCCACCCTCCAATACTTTTTAGTCAGCTTTCTGAGGATTAATCCCACATAAAATACAAAAGATTGTCAAACCACATGTTTATTGGTGCCAATGACTCTAGATATGGGCTCAAATAACTCACTTCAGATGTTTACCTATTCCAAGAATCAAAACTCACCAAACATTAGCGGATAAAGAAATCCAAGCAAGAGAGAGAGATGTATGGATATGTCAACATACATAAAAAGTCAATGATGATTCGGAATAAAGGAAAAAATGAAAAATTGAAGCAACTAATGATCGATTTCATCAGAAATCAGCAAATAATAGCCCGATTTCAGCCATACATCGGCGATTTCAACGTATTTTGGGGAGAGAAAAAAAGGAAAAATTAAACAATGGTACATACCTGAAGCGACCTCTATTATGAGAAAGTGGCGCCGGAGGTGTAGGAGGGTAGCGACAAAAATGTGAAGGTGTAGGAGGATGGCGCCGGAGATGCAAGGCTGGAGAGCCGATGTGAAGAAGTGAAGCGACGGAGGTTTGAGAATTGAGAGAGAAAAGATGTTGATTAGGTTAGGGAAATTTTGAAAGAGTTTTTGTTTTTCAGATACCATTTTAAGGTGAACGTGATGAAAGTTGATGGGGTAAACCGGAGCGGAGACGGTAAGGGCGGTGATAGATGTTTTTTGACGATGCATATCTTATGCTTCCGTGGCGGGTGCTTTTCCATGTTCAAGAAGGAGATGGAAGTAGGTCGGAGGTAGTGGTTGATGGAAGCAGGCGGAGAAGGAGCAACTGTGTAGAATAGAAAGGGTTTTTAGAAGAGGCGATAACATAGGTATGAAAACGACAGATTCAACTTTTGTCAGTTTTTGTAGATGACGATTTTTAAAATTCCATTTATGTGAATTAACTGGAGAGATACGAGGGAATTGTGAATTGTTGGTTTAGCTAGAGATAATACCACGTGGGGAAAGTGGATGGTTTCTATTTTTGTAAATTTTTGAATTTTTTAATGAGACGGGAATTAAATAATGAGATAAGATTGGGTTCGTTATTTATACTATAAGCTTAATGGTTTGGACGTCTTAAATTTATTTTTGGAAATAGTAAGTTATATATATATATATATATATATATATATATATATATATATATATATATATATATATATAGGAAGTGGTTCAAATGAGAACCAAAAAAATTAAGAACCTAAGAACCAATTAATTAAGGAAAATGCTTGTTAAAACACGGAATGGCATAAAGTGTAATTATCAAGAAATAGAAGGTCTGCTCTGTATCATATTACCAAAAAAAACACGGTGGCAATTTCATAAATATACAAAACATATTACCGGATTCATTAATTTGCCATAAAACTTTAAAACCCTAATTCAATTCACAACTTTTTCAAAACAACAAAACCTCCCTAATTCAATTCACTGCAACGCGATCAGTGATCATTTATACAAAATTCAAAAACAACAGAAATGTATTCAATACAATGATAAAAAGACGTAAAACAAGAGAATTTGGAGAAAAATCGACCGAGAATTCAATTGATGAACAAATGACACAAACACACAAAAAAAAAACAAAACAAACTACGAACATTTCAGCTGAAGAAACTCAATTCCCAACGATCAAAACTACGACAGAAAAATAAGAAACATCAAAGAGGATGATTTCAATAGAAAAATCTCAAGCTACAAACAAAACAACACCCATCAAAAAAGGTAAAACCCTAAATACAGTATAAAACGTAATAAACTCAAAAAAGTTGAAAAAGAACAAATATTAGATGATTTCGTTGTAAAATCTTCGTATTTACTTATAACATAATTTTTTTTTAAAAGTATGCATTTCTTAAACTGTGAATAAAGATTGTATAGATTTTAATATAAAAACAGTTTTAAGTTAACATCGTAATAATGATTTTAAACTATGAATGTTGAATTTTATAATGTGAATATATATTAATGATTTTATAGATTTATAAATTTAAAATAATGATTTTCAACTATGAATGATGATAATGATTTAAAACTGTGATTATAGAATATTAAATGTATATAATGATTTAAATTGTGATACATGATAAATGATAAATGTTGAGAATATAAAATATAAAATTACAATTTTAACTTTATGTATGTATCACATATGAAGAAATGACAATAGAACAAACAAATGTATTTAAAAAGGAAAAACTAAACTGTGAATTTGATGAAATTTAAACTAAACTGTGAATTTGATGAAATTTTAAACTCTGAATTTACCTTTAGTGTATATAAAATATCAAATATTTAATACTAACACATGATTTAATGTTAAAATGTGCAGGTGAAAACAAAAGAAAAGAAGATAAAGAAAGTGAATCTAAAGAAACTACAAAAAAAGTTATGAAAAAAGCATTGATAAGGAAACAGACAAAAAGAGCTCTTCAAATATAAGAACCAAAACAATCAAATGATAAAGGTATCATACATTTATGAAAAAAAAATTAATTTTGTTTCTTATTTTAGAAATCATAAATTTCAATTTCAGATAAGGGAAAAAGCTTTTTGATGAAAAAATCAAAACAAAAATGTAAATATGTTCAAGGGACAACAAGACAAATAAGATCACAAACACCTAACAACATACATCAACAAAATCAATGTACAATATAAAAGCTTCTTAATTATATTTTATTAATTAAACTGTGAATTATCTGTTAACTTGTGAATTTTGAAAAAAATAAAGTTGTTGACAAGAAGAAAAAGCAGAAAATGAAGAAAAAGGAAAAGGAACAAGAACTTCAAGGTACATTTTAAAACTATATATAAATAACTGAGTACTTATTTAATTTCTCATATAATAGTTCATTACCATTACATAATGAAATTTTTTTAGAGGGAAAAAAGGAAAGAAACGAAAAGAAAAGCAAACAATAAAAAAGAAAAACAAAAAAGCTAAAACATGGCATGGAGAAGATGATGACAAGTTTCAACCATTAAGAACAAGGGTTGCAACACAAAGCTTATGGAAAGCTGTAAAGATACTGAGCAGTGAACAAAGAGACTGTGTAGAAAGCTTAGGTTTAAGATCACTCTTAAATATGACATTGGATGTGATTCCTTAAAAAATAGGCTTCTTTTCTGTGTTTAGCTACAACCATACAACAAACTCCATTGATTTAGGACATGGAAGAATAACAATAACAGAAGAAACAATAGGAGAAATTCTTGGGTTAAAAAATGAAGGCATGGATCTTGAAACAGTTGATGACTGTGAACAAGATAACAACACATTGATTAAATGGAAAGACCAACATCCAAAAATTTCAAAGTCTGCTCAAGCACTGGTAGATCTTATAGAACAATCGCAAATTGCAGATGAGATGTTTGTGCTAAACTTCATTGTACTTTTTGTCAACTCAATCATAGAGAAAACAACATTTGGAGCCATAGAAATAAGATCTTTGTTGAAGTTGATTAAAGTTGATAATAAAGAAAATATCAATTGGTGCAAGTATATCAATCCCACATAGCTTAAAAGTAAAAAAAAAAATTGGAAGACAAATTGTAAAAACAGCTACTATGTTGGACCATTACCATTTCTAATTGTAAGAATAATTTAAATAATTTAATTTCTCATAAAATAAAAATATTTAATACTAATGTTAATCAAACTTATGTTGTTTTCATGTATCTTGCAGCTTCTGTATGTGCATAGAACCCAATGTGTTCAACAACAGTTCATTAACAGAAGAATAAGACCACTTCACTTCTGGAACTATGAGAGACTGAAAACAAGACAAACAAATGAAATTGCAAATGGAAAATTTGGAATGGTACATAGGACAATATGGAGATGATTGAAGATGATGAAGAAGAATATGTTGGTTTGGATAAGGAAGAGAATGAAAAGAATGAAGAGGAATTTTCAGATTCAGATGACAATAAGGATATTGGTGCAGAGGTAATACAACTTATACATAAATCTTGAATAATAAAAATACAAAAATTATATAAAATTCATATAAAAACAATAATCATGATACTATGAAAATATTCTTACTATATGAATACAAAAAGTAATGATTAAGTTGTGAATTTTAGTATTGAAAATGAATTGATTGTTGATATTAATATTAATAAACTATGAATAGAATTTTAACATTTAGATATAAAAATAACATATGAAAACACATGGTTAATTAAATTGTGAATTAGTTGTTAAGTTGTGAATATCATAAAATAAAATATTACTTTTTTTATTGTAACCTTGTTTATTATGAAATAACAAAATACATACACTACGACTATTTTGCTTGATGATAGAAAAAGTTTAAAAATAATAAAATAGAAAAATTAATCATTGTACTATGAAATTATTGTTACTATATGAATACACAAAATAATGATTAAGTTGTTAATTTAAGAATTAAAAATGAATTCATTGTTGATATTAATATTACTAAACTGTGAATAGATTTTTAATATGTGAATATAAAACATAACACATGTTTAATTAAACTGTGAATCAGTTGTGAATTTCATAAAATAAAATATAACACATTATTAGTTTGTTTTATTGAAATCTTATTTATAATAAACTAACAAAAAATATACAACACAGGGATTTTGCTTAATGATAGAAAAAGATTACAAAATGGCATTAGTTTACAAAAAGAGAATGGAAAATACATTAGTGAAGGCAAAAAAAAATGTGGATGACATAACAATTAAAAGATGGTTTGTGAAATATGAGAGTTTATTCAAGAAGCATATTGGTGAAACATCAAAAGTGAGTGAAAATGAAGTTCAAGTTGAAAATAAAATACAAGAATCATCAGATGAAAATCCAAAAAAACGATATTGCATTTCAAAAATCAATAGTTTTGTATACACCGAAAGAGAATCAAGCACAACACACTGAAGTTGAAAATACATTGAATGCAGAAGAAGCTGAAGAAATAGTTGTGGACCAAACAACAAACACACAACAAGAAATTCAAGAAGAAGCAGGAGGAGGAAATAAAAGGAAAGGAAAAGAAAAAATTGAAAAACAATGGATGCAGAACAACATCAAGAAATGGTTATGTATCAAACAATAGCCACACAGGAAGAAACTGAAGAAGAAGACAGAGTCAATACAACTCAAAAAACACCATCACTTACTGATTCTTATTCCAAAATCATCAGCTTTCACACCAACATTAGAGTCACCAATAATTTATGCTTTGGTTGACAAAGTTGTTGAAGAAAGCTTAAACAAAAATGCTTTAACTACAACTCCAAAACAAAAACAAGATGAAATAACTTGCACACCATCCATTCAAAAACCATCTTTTTCACTTGGACAAACCCCAGATATCAAATATGATGTAAACTCTCCAAAGCTTGCTACAAGATCAAGCAAAGATAAAGAACATAAAAACAGAAAACAAACAAAGATGAAGAACAAGTTCAAACAAAAAAAGAAGGAGGAAATAAAGGGAAAGGAAAAGAAATTTTTATTGAAGAGAAACATGAAGAAAAAAAGGATCAGAAAAGAAAAATGAGAGATCATTCCAACAGAAAGTTACTTGACTCATTACACTGGTCGAATAGTGGAAGCAAAAGACATGCTATTTAATGAAGAGATACTAATTGCAAACTCAATATTTTCAATGCAAAGGAACCACAAGTAAGTATATATTTTTAATAAAAAATTAATTTATTTTATTTATGAAACAAAAATTAATTTTTCAGAAAAATTCACAACTTAATTATATTAACAGGGAAATCATATCCAGAACAAGAAATGGGGATGTAGTAGAAAGAATTTTCTTTGAAACATTAATCCCAGGTGCCTACATCCACCACAAAGTCATTGATTGTTGGTCGATTATGTTAAATGATGAGGAGAGCAGAAAACAAAAGGGATCTCCATTAAGATTCTATTTTCCAACAAGAATCATAGTAAGTAACATTTATATTATGTATATATATGTTAATAGATTAACAAAATTCTAACAAAATAAAATATTTAATATATGTAATTAGAGTGAAGACATGACAAATGAGGAGATACCAATGGATGACATATGTAAAATGTTTGATCAAAAAGCAACAGAAGCAATAAAATTCCATCCATATGCACATGATTTTGATAAACTAGGATTTGTAAGTTACAACAATCTTTATATTATATTATATTATATATATATATATATATATATATATATATATATATATATATATATATATATATACTGATAGTTTAGAATTTAATATAAATGCAACTATTTTTCCAATCAAGAAAAAAATGCATTACTATTTGTTATGTATAAATCTCGAAAAGATATCACTAGTTTTGATTGAAAGTCATAAAGGAATGTCGAATGTTAATGTTGAATATGGGCTATTACCACAATTGTAACGACCCAATTTTTCAAAAGAATTTTTCATTTTTAATTATCCAAAACATAATTCAATCATCCACAAAACCAGTTCCAATTATTTTAAAATCCATAACAAATACAACTTTATTTCAAAATATCAGAGTGTCCCATAAAATGCCCGAGTGAGAGTGCACATCGCGTCACCAAGCCTTACCTTTGCTCTTGGGCTCAGATGTACCTGAAACAAATCCACAAACTATAAATTAATGCTTAGTGAGTCCCCCCGAGCATACCCCACAAACAATCCACATAACACATATCATATTAGCTATAAAGCTACACATATCACATAAGCCATGCATACAACATATAAGGAAACCATGGAAACCCTCCGGGGTCTTACACCTAATGCCACGGGAACCCCCACGTGGTCTTATCTTCCATGGGAACCCCCGCATGGTCTTCCTGCCTTGGGAACCCTCACAAGGTCTTCCTGCCTTGGGAACCCCCACAAGGTCTTCACTACCAAACAAGACATAATGCAAACTATACAAGCAGATATACTAGGATGCCATGGAAACCCTCCAAGGTCTTATACCAAATGCCACGGGAACCCCCACGTGGTCTTCCATGCAGATTTCATACCATCATATCGTATAATCAATCAACAATCTGCATCACATAAAATGGGTCGGCCATGGTGCCTTAGACCCATTGGTATGGTGAGAAGACTTACCTTGTCTGCTGAATCCGAAAGCTGCTCTCCTAACAGTCTATAACCACCCGTGTTGAACAATAATAACTTTACTCAACGTTAGGACTGAACATAATCCAATTGAAGAGTCCAAACTCCAAGTCCTTTCTCAATGGCCCAAAATTCTTCCTTTGCTATTGGGCCCAAAGTTCATGTCTAATTATCATTAATGGGCCTCATGGCCCAATAAGGCCCAACCATAGAAACCATGGCCCAAAACAGATAAGTTGGCCTACCAATCCAAAGCATGACCAGGCCCAATGACTAATCAAGGCCCAAAAGCTTACAAGCCCAAAACAAGTCCAAATCCATCTGTTGTGTGTACGCCTAGCGTACCACCCTCATACGCGCAACGTACTGAGTCCCTGGGTCGTACGCGCTGCGTACGATAAGTTACGCCCAGTGTACTAACAGATTAAGCACGTACACCCAACGTACTAACAGATTAAGCACTTTCTTCCATTAAGTGCTTAATACTCGATTTTCTCACGTCTAATAGTCAGATCTAAGCTCATTAAGACGTCCTAGGGCATAAAGTTGGCAACTTTATGCCTTTGCATGTCTCATATATTCCCAACAACCCATTAAGACCTTTCCAAGGGTCTTGATCCATGCATGAGGTCAAAACACCCATCAAGACTTCATTTTTATGCGATGAATGGACCAAAGGACCTCAGATCTAACCTTTTCAGCCTCTAGAGTTGCTCAACTCTCAAGAGGAGGTCCAAAACCAACTAAAGGGACAAAATAGAAAACCCTAGCTAGATCTAATGAATAAGATGGCAAGATCCGTTCATAAGAGAACTAAAGATCCGTTCAAGTGAGCTATGATGGCTTAGTATGTACATCAGGGGTATGCATAACTAAGATTTTGCAAGCTTAGAGTGAGTGATTCCGCCTCATTTCTTGTTTCTTGTCTGATTGTGGACTTAGGGCAGAGTCACTCAGTCGACCGTCTTATTCATCTTAATTATACACAACTTGTATATGTCAAGCGATCATATAGGTACCAAGTAGGATCATAATATAAAGTATCATCACTAGTTATCAAAGCACTTTAACTGCTAGTACTCGCTTATTGCGGTAAGATTTGTGGCAGTGGTAATATCGAGAAAGCACTAGAAAGCCTACACAGAATGCATTGTCGATCACACTTGGGATACACCATCGTTATAACAGACGTTTCTTTCAAAACGACTTTACACTTGTTTCTATAAAGAGTCCGGCGTCGTCATTTGACGTGGATTGGCGTGGTCCTCACCATACTAAGTTCTTGTGTTATGAAAACCAACCGCCTTAACCGACCGATTAACAAAACCCTCGTCACTCGTAACGACAACCTGACCCAGATCTCATAATTGTCTCTTGTATTCTAAACCCCGAAGTACTCATGAGAGGAGTACTTTAACCTCCGAAACCTTGTCAACGTATACCCAATAGACCTTCCAGAACTACCACTCGTCCAACAGGTCAAGTTCAAGTACAGAGGTTGAGGACGAATACGGTTAACCTATCACTACTAAGTGTATACGCGAGAGTAGTATATAATTAAGATTCTGTGGACTGAGAATGTGTGCTTCCGCCCTATCTCCTGTTCCTTGTTTGGTTGTGGACCTGGGGTAAAGTCGCACATCCGACCATCTTACTAATCTTAATTATATACGACTTTTATACATGAGGTAATGATAGATGGACCAGGTATGAATCCTATCATGAACTTCAGGGAAAAGTTGCCCAGGTCTACGAGTGGATATTCTATCATTCAAAGGAGCCCGGCCCCAAAAGTCCTGCTAAGAAAGCAAATTTCGGGACGAAATTCCATCTAATGGGGGGATGATGTCACAACCCGGAATTTCTATCTTGTAAGGTCAAATACATCAACTGATGGTCAAACTTATAGGTTTCTAGACCTAGTATGCGTAAGGGTTGTGTGTTAGGAAGTGAACCACGTAAGAACCAAGAACTACATTCGAGCCATAAACCTCAACAAGTGAGGTTCACGGCTGCAAACTAGATTCACGGCCGTGAACCCTCCCTTGGCCATGAACTATACCTTATATATATATGAGGTTGTTCGATTTTATCCTTATTTCTTCATCTCTTGGCCGAAAACCCTTCCATTCTCTCTCAAGTATCATATACCAAGAACACCATTTTCACTCTTATCATCCCTTTTCCTTTTGCATCTCCTTAGTATACCACTTAGGACCTTCAAACACTCACCAATCATTAAGATCTTCAAGTGTTCTTCCCTGATTTTGGGCCGTAAACCCTTCCTAGGGCTGTGAACCATCCATGGGCCGTGAACCCTTCATGAGGTCGTGAACCCATCAAGCCTGGCCGTGATCAACTTTCAGCCTTCCATTTTTCGATTATAACATTTCTTTGTAAGTTTTCCCTACTTCATAAGCTATTTCCTTTGCGCCTTAGATGTTAAATGCAATAACTGTATACACACACACACATATATATATATATATATATATATATATATATATATATATATATATGTCACAATATGCTATTTAGGACTCGTTTGTGCTCCGGGACTTCGTTCGTGAGTATAACATCCTTATTCCAGTCTTCAATCGAATCAATCATATAAGGTGAGTTCATACCCCTATAATCTACCTTTTTAAATGATTTTAAATGCTTTTTAGGGGGGAATACAAGTAGAACACAAGAAATCTTGTGTTTAAAAATGTGATTTTACTTATTTTGTTATTTTGCTGTCAATATGAATGAAAACATGAAACTTGTTAAAAACATGGAAATAAACTGATAAACTATAATAAGTATAGTTTATGGAACATAGGAATCTTTTTACAAAACTACCAGTTATTTATAAAAGGTTTTTGCATTATTACTTGTAAAGTCGTTAATCTAGTTTGTGAGACATGTCTTCAGTACTTACTTAAGTACTAGTAGAAATCCACCTTTATGATCCAGAGTCTCCTAGAGGGAGAGCATAAGTTTG